AACCCCCTCACCCCCAGTACTGGACCCACCACCGGCGCCTCCAGCTTTGTCTGAAGCAACCGGATGCAAACGGACCAATCACAGCGCGTCTTAGCGGGTGTCAATCACGCCCCACTCCACTCTCCACCAATCAGCTTCGCCATCCACAATTAGCCCCGCAGGGTCCTAGCGCCGCCCACCCGCGCAGGGATGTATTGGCAGCTATAGGGGGGGCAAATAGGGAAATAAAGGGGTTGGGAAGAGATTATTGATGGGAAATTGGGGGTTCTGAGGAGAAAAATGGGGTTCTAAGGAGAAAAATGGGGTTCTAAGGAGAAAAGCAGGCTGGAAGCTCCTGGGTGACCCTGAACCCCCTCCAGCTCCATCCTGAAAGCAGAGGGGTTGGATGCCCAGAGGGGTTGGATGTAGCACCAGGTGCTTATCCCAGGTGGATCCGCTGGTGTCGGATGAGACGTGAGCTGACGATGAAGCTCTTCCCACACTCGTTGCACTTGTAGGGTCTCTCCCCAGTGTGAAGGCGCTTGTGGGTGATGAGGGATGAACTCAGCCTGAAGCTCTTCCCACAGTCGCTGCACTGGTAGGGTTTCTCCCCAGTGTGCAGACGCTGGTGGATGATGAGAGCTGAGTTGATGATGAAGCTCTTCCCACAATCACCACACTTGTAGGGTTTCTCTCCAGTGTGGATGTGTTGGTGACGTTTTAAAGCTGAGCTATCAAAGTAGCTTTCACCACAAATATTGCACTGGAAAGGTTTCTCCCCAGTGTGGGTACGATGATGAATGATGAAGGATGATTTGGTGATGAAGCTCTTCCCACAATCACTACACTTGTGAGGTTTCTCCACGCTGTGGGTGTGCCGGTGACAGCACAAAGCTGAGTTATCATTGAATCTCTTCCCACAGTCACCACACTGGTAAGGTCTCTCCCCAGTATGGATCCGTTGGTGTTTCATGAGAGATGAGCTGCTACCAAAGCTTTTCCCACAATCATCACACTTGTAGGATTTCTGCCCAGTGTGGACACGCCGGTGGATGATAAAATCTGAGTTCCACATGAAGCTCTTCCCACAATCATCACACTTGTAGGGTTTCTCCCCGGTGTGGATACGTCGGTGGCACCTCAAAGCTGAGCTGTGCCTGAAGCTTTTCCCACAATAATTGCAATTAAAGGGTTTCTCCCCAGTGTGGATTCGTAGGTGGCTGATAAGGACTGAGCTCTGCCCAAAGCTCCTCCCACATTCCCCACATTTATAGGGCTTCTCCCCAGTGTGGATACGTTGGTGTTGGATGAGGGACAAGGTGCTACCAAAGCTTTTCCCACAGTCGTTGCACTCATAGGGTCCATCCCCAGTGTGGATACGCCGGTGGATGACAAGATCCGAGTACCACTTGAAGCTCTCCCCACACTTGCTGCACTTGTAGGTCTTCTCCACGCCATGGACACGTTGGTGGCGGCTCAAACCCGAGTTCTGCTTGAAGCTCTTCCCACAGTCGCTGCAAATGTAGGGCCTCTCGACACTGTGGGTCTGGAGGTGTCTGTTGAAGGATGAGCTCTGTCTGAAGCTCATCCCACAGTCACTGCACTGGTA